CCGCGCCCCCACCATCACCAATAGGATCACTTCGACCTCGCTTTACTTCATTAGCCAGTTATTCCTTTTTTTTTTCTTTTTTTTTTAAATTTATTATTATTATTTTTCAAAATTGATTTGAAATTCTTGTAAATTCGTAAATACTTCATTTCTCGGCATTTCGTTTTCACAAATATTTTCTTTTTCGAAATTTTCGAACATACGTCGAATTAATCATTCTTTCTCGGCATTTCTTCTTCGAAATTCCAAAAAAAAAAAAAAAAAATGAATTCTTTTTCAAAATCCTTGTAATTCGAAATATTTTAGAATTAGTTTTTTTTTTGTCAATATTTCTTTTTAGAAAACATTTCTAATTAATTCTTTTTTGAAAATTTTGAAACTACTTTTCATTCATTCTTTTTCAAAAATTTTGAAAACATGTTAGAATTAATTATTTTTTTTTTCGATATTTCTTTTTTCTTCGAAATTCAACAATAAATTTACTTAATTCCTTTTGAAATTTCACAATTTTCATACCCCAAAATTCATTTCGAATAAATTTTACCAGAATTTATTTCTCAAAATTAATTATTATTATTATTATTATTATTCTTATTATTATTATTATTATTTTGATATTTTCAGCATTCATTCTTGAAAATTTCGTGTTTTCAACTTTTCTCCCACGAAATCCTTTCCGAATTTTTGAATTAATCTCGAATAAATTACTCCAAATCGGAATAATTTATTTTGAATTAATTCCCATTTTTTTCCTATATTGTTTTTGCAAATACCTTTATTTATTTTTGAATACATCAATTAATGCTGTAAATACCCTCCCCACCCCCACCCACTGCCATTCCCAAATCTCCACATGCCACCACGCCAATCCAAGACCTCCCAACGCGCAGGCGCCGCTGCCGTCGCGCCTGCCTCCACCTCATCCGCAGCCGTCGCCTCAGCCATCGCTGCTGCGGCATCCTCCACATCCACCTTTCCGCCATCCTCCACACTCTCAACACCCTCCAAACCTCCGTCACCGCCTCTCTCAACGACATGAAGGCCACTGTGTCATCCATATCCGACTGCGTCACCACACTCGAAAGGAACAACCCCTCCATCACGGTCGTCACCACGGCCGCACCTCCCTCCTCCACAGCGCAAACCACTCCCTCCTCCACAGCCGCCTCCAGCAACACCCCTCCGCCGACCTCCTCCACTCCTACCACCTCTACCACCACATCCACCAGCCCTTCAACCTCCACCATCGTTTCGTTCCCCCCACCTCCTTCCTCATCCGGCGCATCCAGCACACCGCCTCATTCCTCACCCATCCACGTCACCCCTCTTCCCCCCCCGCACTCCCATACCCTTCTCCAACCCATCACGATGACCTCCACCATCCCCACCATCCGTCCCACCTATTCCCAAGTCACCTCCGGGGTTTACCCCGCAATGCCACAACTCCCCCCCAACTACCTCCTTGAGGACAACAGCCAACTCGACTACACCTGCTACGACACCACCCCCGATAACCTCAACTTCAACACCCTTGCCCAGATCGTTTCCCGCGACAGGGAAATCCCCCGTTCCTTCCGATCCGGCGAAATCATGTCCTTCTCCGGCCTCCCCCACGAGGACGTTTTCCTCTTTCTAACCCAGCTCCAGAACTCTTTTCACCTCCACCACATGCCCCTTGCCCACTGGCTTCCCATTGCCACCTCCCGCCTCCTCGACAATGCTGCAAAATGGTGGATGGCTGAAGTCAGCAACCGCCTAGCCTCCGGAAGACCACGTCACTCTTTCCTCCAATGGGCCAAACTTCTCACTGCCACCTTCCGCCCCCAGAAAACCATTGATGACTACCTCGAACAATTATGTCACCTCCGCCAGATCGGTCTCACAGACCGCTTCGCCCAATACATGCACACCCTCCGCCATCACCTCCCCACCACCATCATTCCCGACTTTGCGTTCATCTCCCGCATCAAGGGAGTATGCCACAAAGATCTTGCAACCGCCCTCGCCCACGAACCCAATATGCCCCTTGCTGACCTCCTCTCTCGCATGCTTCACCACGATCGACTCCACCCCCATCATCAGTCCGCGCCCGCTCCCTCCCGCCCCCGCTTTTTCCATAACGACACCACTCCACCCACCTCCGATGACGTCTTCGACACTACCTCTCTCGACCCCTCCCAATTCACCATTGAGGACCTCCAGACCGCCCACCTTATGCGGACGGAACGCCAGGATCGTGCCTGCCGACCTCCTTCTGCCTCTCCACCCCGTCGTCTCCAAAAACTCGCACCCGCAGAACACATATATCTCCAGGAACGCAACGGGTATTTTCGTTGCCGCCAGTTAGGTCATCAACAGACCAACTGCCCCAACGCTAGCCGCTTTACTCGACCGGCCCCTCGCTCCACGGGACCCGACCCTTCTACTCCCACTTATTCCTCCACCGTGACAGTCGGGCCCTCCCCCACCTGAACACTGTCCCCCTGTCTCTCACAATCCTTCCCAGGCATCGACCACTTGTCTGTCGGCTCTCCCATCGGTGACGATCTCTCCTCCACCGGTGGCTCACTCGGCATCGACTATCTGTCTGCTTAACCCCCCTCCGGCGACGCACATCCCATCGGACGACCCCGGGGCAACGCAGTCTACTCAGCCTGACCCCCTCTTGACGACGTCTGCTATCCCGTCGGTCGAGCATCCCACTGGCACCTGCTCTTCTACTCTCAACCTTAAACCCCTGTATAAACCCCACTACAACCTCACAACCTCGCAACCTCGCAACCCCGCTCTACACACACCCTTGAACCCAGTCCACCCTCCCCTTGACCCTCATTCCTGATGTCTGATCTGCCCTTGCCCTCGCCTAACCTTGTCCCATCTGTCCTCTCCACTACCTTGTCTCTCTTGTCCAATGCTTGTGAACCTGCGTGACGCCGACGATAAAGGATCTAATGGCAAGTGCACGAGGACGAGGGCCTGCTGCCTCACTGTTCATGGAAATTATGCAGCTGGTTTGGCCACCATGCTGTTTCATCGGCCGGCATTCCGACTCGCGGACTTACTGGAGCAGCAACTTGTGACATGGATCTTTGCATCAGCCTGCGACTTCCTCGATTCCAGATCAGACCTCATTGCAGTTCGTGTACCGGACGCACCCTAGCACTTGGACTTTGACACTTCAACTACTACTACGCTTCTTGAACTTCTACCTGTTGCAGCTGCTGAAGACCGCTTCTACCACCTACTCCAAAGACCTGATCAAGACCGCTGCAGACCCCCTTTCAAGACACTTGGACACTTTGTTCCTACATGAGATTCTGCTTCCGACTCCTTCGGACACACCAGCCCTTGCATCCTGAACGAACATTTTCATTTTTATTTTTCCTGACTTTGACAACCCTGTAGAACATCATTAGCAGATCCCTGTTTCCCTAACCATTGTTTCCTGTACCCACTAGAACATCGATAGACATCCCCTGTTTCCCTGACCATTGTTTCCCTTACCCACTACAACATCAATAGAAATACCTTGTTTTCGTGAACACCGTTTCCCTTACCCAGTAGAACATCAATAGAAGTTCCCTGTTCCCTGAACTCTGTTCCCCCTTAACTTATAGCAACCCATGCCGTCCCTTTAGTTCATTTGTAGGACTACCCTGTTCCCTGCACCCCCCCCTCGTTCATCAGTAGGACAACTCTGTTCACCGGTGCCAAACCCTGTTCCCTTTTACTCTCGCAGCCCATGACGCCCACATTATACCCCTCTTCCCTTTCGACTTGTTAACCAGTGATCGATCCCATCCCGTCCTTCACAGATTTCCACATTGCTTCATGATTTTTGGCAGCCGGGACTTTGCCTTCTAGAGGGAGGGGATAGTGTTATGGACTCTGCCAGGGCTCGGTCCCTGGTCTATCTTTTTGCTGTTTCGGCTGCATCCCGTTTTCGGCCTGGCACCCTTTTTCCAAACCCCTCCTTTGGTACCGTAGGATTTTGGACAACTGGCGCCATGCTGCAATTCGGGCGCCACTTTCAAATACCGCACTTGTCAGTTCTGCCCTCGGGGCCTTTGCAGAAATGCCCCTGGTACCGTACGTGTCACCGGTACTTATACCGGCTTCCCGCACGGTACGGGGACCAGTCTCGTACCAGTTTCCTGTTGTACTCGTACTCAGTGTGACTTGCTTTGACATGGTGGTCGGAGATCCAAGACTTCGACTTTGCGACTTTGCCACTTCGTGTCTGCGTCCGTCGAGTCGTGTCGAGTCTGTGTCGAGTTAAGTGAGTGTGTGTGTGTGCTCTCACTCTCTCCCTCTCTCTCCCAGCCTCGTTGCCTCAGCCCCGTCACACTGGAAGGCTCACGAATACTTCCGATTCTCACGAGCAAAGTGGATGTAACCAACTGGCGCGTGCCACTTGTCTGGCGCCGACCAAGATTTGCAAACATTGACAAGTTCAGTGCGCATTGAGATTCAGGGGACCCACCTTCACTTAGAGCGGGCACGTGCCCGCTGCAGGGCCTTATGCCGAGGCATAATCCCTCGCACGCCTCCTCTACTTCGATAGCCCCCTGAGCAGTCGTTACACAGCAGGCTGCTTCCCTTTCAAATTTCGTTCATAACTTGAGATAACTTGGGGAGCAGTCTTCATTAGCTCTTCTCTTTGAACCACCGATCTTCTTTAGGATTAGTATGGTGTCTGAACCCACTAGGTACTGCATCTGCGGTTTCGGAGGGTGTCCCCTGCCTCAGGCCTGGG